AGAGACTGAAGGGAGGAAGCTGCGGTACTGCACACAGGGTCCACCTGACACAGCAGTTAAAAACAAAAACAAAAACCAAACAAACCCGAATAAAGAAAGAAAACAAAACACCGCCAACTTACTGATGTTGTATTACTAACCTCTCAATAACTGGGTGATTTAGGAAACAAACCATTGCATTGCAACCGAAGACCTTCGATGCCCGTTATACTTGAATTGGCTTTCTTCGCTTACTGTTGCTAAAGCCAGCACTGGCACATACTGTTTCACGTCTCGGCTGTATGATTCTCCCTGTCCGACCCTCTCTCCATCTTCACTTCTCTGAAGTGTGACAAGGCAACACAGGCCGTAACACTTATTTTTTGTTCTCCTTTTCCCTTCCTCAGTGCAGCTGACCCATTGGCATTGTGCCTGTGGGTGCACGAGACGTGCTGCTCTGGCTTAGGCAGTAGCAGTGGGTGCCACCGGGCTGGGGGCAGTTGTGTGTCCGTCTGTCCATCCCCAGCTGCGTTCCCCTCTCCAGCAGGAGTTGGTGCAGCTGCTGTGCCTCGGTGCTCTGGGTCACAGCTGCAGCGGGGTGTCTGGGACAGTGGAGACACAAATGGCTCTAAACTCCATGCTTTTCGGCAACACTGTGTATCACGAAGGAATGCTTTTGCAGAAACCGCTACCACAGGGCTCCAGTTTCCTTTGGATGCTGTTGTAATACATACGCTACTAATTGGCTACCATTTGCGGATGAGAGATGAGTCTTCTGAAAATGATGGGGTTTTCTGTTTTGGTGAGAAAATATCACCTAAGGGGAGTTTGCTTGATGTTTCTCTCCCCTTTAGACTTCAGAAAGTTGTTTCACAGTAGTTTCTTATCTTTGTGAACTCTGAATTCGTTTTAAAAATGTGTCAGAAAGCCATTAGTTTGTTTTAGGACTGTTACATTCAACCGCTGTTATATTCTCCCGTTCAAAAATTCCCTCTGCTGGCCTCTAATTTGAATAATAAGACTTAAAGACCCAATTATTTTGTAGTTAATGAGAGGTTTCCTTTTTGGTGGTGCGGTGTGTTTCTTTTTAAATTAAATGTTGTTTCTTTCCTGACACTAGCTGCTTTCCTGTATTCTTTTATTAGGTCTGCGGAAGACATCAGATGTTCAGACACTCTCTCTGCTTCTCTGTGTTTGGCATCTGGGATTCTCCCCTCCCAGATCTTCTCTGACAGATCTTTAAATCCTCTTCCTCTTCAAGTGAGTGAAAAATCTTTACACTTGCTGTTTGCACTTACAGCTTCATTTTCTACGTGTCTGTTCACCTTTCCTCCCCGCCAACTTTTGTAACACCTACCTTCTGTACCGTCCTCATCCTTTCTCTGCATGCTTTGTCCAACAGAAGCTTTGATCTTTTTCATTAATAGGTTGCCATCTACTGCCTGTACTTCATTGGCTTTCATGTTTCTATTATATTGAATATGCTCAGGAAGAGATGGGAGACCTTTTAAACATGAATTGCTGTAACAAGCAGAGTGCAGAGCATTTAAAGCAACTTACTAAATCTACCTTGGTTTGAGGAGGTACAGAGTGTCAGGTTAGGATTTATTTTTTTCCCTAGGTGTCACAAAACATTGCACATTTAATCTGGATGATTGTAAGCATTGCTCTTCTGATGGACTTGTGTCTGAAAGCATTTGGTTTATTACATGTACAGGATTCCTGTTTTGTACTGACTGTTGGCGTCTAAGACTCCAAGACTATATTGATGCAGCTTGTTAAGGCTGCCCTCAGACTCTCATTTGGAGTAAGAGCTTGAAGCAACGTTTTTGGTGCATGTGATGAGCTTGTCTTTCTCCCACTGACTGCTGTGTGGAGGAGGCAGACCAGAAGCAGAGCACATAAAGTGGAAGGTAGATTTCAAATTTTTACAGATGCAACCCTTCTTCAGCTGTCACTGAAAAAAGGTAATGGTCTGGCTGCTGTCTTCCAGGATGTGACCTGGGAGAGCTGTGGCTTGTAATTACTTTTTCTCTATGCTATTATCCTTGGTTTGGTGGAATAGTTCACATGCTGCTTCTGCTTCATTGCCTTCTTCGCAGATGTGCCGTCAGGAAAATGGAGGGTGAGAGTTGCAGATTAAATACACCTGAGATCTTGACAGCCTCATCGCTCACTTGCTGACACATGAGCATCAGGTGTCACTACACCTGTTGCTCCTCCTGCATTTGGCATCATGATCTTGAGGAGTGGAGTTAATTGGGTACCATAGTTCTCTTTGTGGACAAGAAGGAACATGGGAATCTTCCTCAAAATGAAATCAGTCTAGTACTGTGCAGTAAATAGGAAGAAATGCTGTGGGAAGACTGAGGGAAAGATGATAACAGGAAATGTTGTGATGATGTTTGGTTTTGGCTTTCATTCTTGGGATCACTGATGAAGAAGACTGGACAAGTAAAGTAGGGAGGTCGGTGGGGAATGGCTTAATCATGCTTTTCAAAGCATGCTGAAAAAAACCTGCATTTGTGGTAAGAAATAAATGTTGTGTTACGAGCTATGTATCAATGTGATGGAGCTGTGAAGTGTTGCCTTCCAGGGAGAGAGATGAGGAATTCAGTCTTTCACACCTCAGTAAGAAAGGGTTAGTAGGTGCTGTGACCACCATCTATCAGTGCATGCATGAAGAACAGAAAAATAATGACTAAGGAACTTGTTATTCCAGAAACAAAGAGAGTTGGAAGTTGAAAGTAATCAAGTTCAAGCTGAGGATAAGGTGACCATTTTTAGGTCTTAAAGGAATTATCAAGTGGAACAATTAATTAAGTGTTGTTTAGTTCTCTGTTAGGGGATGCTTGAAAACCAGGATGAGATGTTTCTCACAAAAGACAGATACGCTTCAGTTAAATCAGAGCTACTGGACTTGAAGCAGGAATTAAAACAGAAAAATAAATCTGGTGTCTTGGATTTTACAGGCTAATAGCGAATTGGTGAATCTGCAAAGGGGAGCCTCCTACCACTGCCTGACAGTCATTAGGGAAATGTTATAGCATAAAGCTCCCATTTTTTGGATCCTTCTTTCTATTTAAGTGTTTTTGCACAAAACTGAAACACTTTTTTTTTTTTTGAAGTTAGTTGTCATAAGTAAACAGCTTAGTACTAGCTGGCTATGTCAGCAAAAGTCCTAGGACTTCTGTAAACAGAAAGACTAAGATAGAAAATACGCGTCTGCGCTGCCCAGTTGAAGTGCTTGCTGTGTTGCTTCAGCATCTTGTTCCCTTGATCCTGCCATCACCTGTCCTCTGTGTCTGTCCCACTGTCCTGGAGCGAGAAGGACTCTCCCCAAGCAGAGGGAGCAGGTCAGTGTCCTGGGGGTCTCGACCATGGATGTAGCTGAACACCACCCAAGAAGGCTCTGTATGTGCAGGTGTTGTCCTGCAATGTCCATCTGTACACAGCATGGAGAAGCTGGATTGTTGTGTTGTCTTGGGGGCATTATAGAAAATATTAGCTCTTATGGGATCTTCAAATTACTGTGAAGAATGTTGCAGGCGCACAATGTTTCAGGCACAGGGATCTGGCCCCATACAGCAGTGGTTCCTGCTCCTGTATGGGAGGAAGAGGGAGCAAATGGAGGAGGTTTTGCAGCTGCAACCAGGCAGCCCTGCCACAGATCACCAAGACGAGTATGGCCATCGCCAGTGCATTTCTGGAGTTTTGAGAGACTGCAACAGAAAAATCTCTCTGCCTCTTTGTGGTAGATTATCATAGCTTAAGCTAATGTCTCCTAAATACTTCAAGTATTTGAGTCATTGTAAGAAAACAACTTAATTCCATCCCGTTGATTTCTAAATGGGGAAAATACATGTCTTGTGTTTAACAGAAGAGCAGTGATAATAATATATCACTGATTTACTTTTAGTTAAACTTTATTTGTTTATTTAAGAAAAGGAAAGTTTGTTTGACAAAAAGAGAAAGTGTTTATAGATTTGCATGCTTTGATATATACCATTCTGAATATAGTATCATTCTATTCCTGCAAATCTTGCCGAGATCTTTGCTATGGATTTGAAATTTATTCTAAGATTTGACTATGGAACAAATCAAACCAATAATTTAGCCTAACTGAAAAAAGAATGGATTTAAGCTCTTAAAAGTGTATTTTGTAGGTCACACAGAAATTCTTGTATACTTAATCCACACACAGAAGCATATAGTGCTGTGTGTTCATGTGAATTGACATGCAGGGGCAAAATCCACCTAATTCTCCAATCCTGAATTGAGTGCAGAATAGGCAAAGCTATAGAATTTACAGTAGTTACATAGTATATGAAATAAAAATAATTATAATTCCAATTTAATTAACTCTAAAGATAAATGAGAATGTATTCATATGCACCATGACATTTATTGCGTTTTGTAAAAAAAGTTGTGTTTCCCTCTGGTTTTAATCTCTTTTCTAAAACTCTATTAATGTTCATGAGAGGGAGATATCAGCTATTTTAATTTATTTGTATCGGCACATAATCAAAACACTCTCTCCTCTTCCCTGCAGAGGAGGGAATACACCAGTGCAGAGCACGAAGCAGTGATGTATCAATGTAGATGGGTCAGTGAGTTTAGAACTATTTTACAAAGTCAGTGAAATGTATAGTCTATTCAGATACTCACTTCATCTGCTTCCCAACAGAGGTGTGTGGGTTTTTTTGTGGGAGGTTTTTGTTTGCTTTTAAGCTGAGGGAATATTTTGAGTTTTAAAGAAAAGCTTTTCCTTTTTCTGTCTAAAATGGAAATGCAAGAATGGACATATTTCATTGAAGATGCTGTAGTAGAAGTTGGCTTACCCTGCTTTTTAATGTATTATTACTATATCACGATTAGTAAGCTCATATGCTCTGATATTCCTGCACTTCTGTGACTGCCATTCGATTACCCTGTATTGAGTGAATCTAGATATCCTCGTTTTCTGATAGAAATTTTCCTATAATCTGTGATTTCAAACAGTCCTGTTTACCTTTCTACAGCTTTGAGGTTGCCAGCCTGACGCGGGCAGATGCTGATCTGGAGGCATTTCGAATGCAGATATGTAAAGAAGTGATTGCTATGATGATGAAGAACATGGTCTTAAGTCACAGCCTCTTTCCTCATGTGGAGAAGAGGATGAGTTCAATTTTCAAAAAGCAGTTTCTTGCAATGGAGAAGGAGATTAAAGAGGAGTATGAAAGGAAGATGGTGGCTTTAACAGCTGAATGTAATCTGGAAACTAGGAAGAAAATGGAGGCTCAATGCCAAAAAGCGAGAGTTGCAAATGAAGAGGCTGAGGAATTAATGAAGAAAATGAATGAAAAGGTAAATCTGGTATAAAATCAAGATATTTTCTATGATATGTGGTTTTATATAGATGGTTTCTCTTTTAGACTAGAATGACTGAGTTGTCCTCTTAGAAGAGTAAAGAGAAAAGCTGTACAATTTAAACGTGTTCAAAAATTCAGATGTCATAATTAGGGTAATTGTTATTAAGAAACTGTGTTTTACTTCCCCAGAAAATGAGTTTATCTGAAGAGAATCTGAGACACCTGAAAACAAAAAGTTGTCATTACCGTGTTTTTTTTTATAGTCACCCTTGCAAAGTGGTGTATTTTTACTTACTATATTTTACTGCAGCAGTTCCTAAGAACTCCAGTCAGACACTGTGTAAAGTATTTTGCACATTCAGAGCAGAACAAACTCTCTGCATCATAAACCTTACAATCTAGGTAAAAAGCCACCAATATTTATATTCTTATTTTGAAGAAAATGAGAATATAAGCGCAACCAGAGGCCGATTTCCTCCAAACCGAGTGCAGGCAAGCAGAACAATCTATATTTTAGGCAGAGTAGGGAGTGGACTTCTCATGGAAATAGCCTCTGGATAATAGTGAGATAAATAATTTAAGGCTGAGTATGATTCTTTACAAGTTTAGAGTTTCCCTTTAAGTAAAAGCTTAGTGCTTATGTGTGTCACTTTCATTCAAAGATCTCTGTCCGAATGCGTATCATTACCCAGGATTTCATAGGTAGTCACTAGCTAGAAATAGAGCCTGGATCACCCATCCAACATTCCATGTACAAAATTATGCTCCAATCTTCCATGTCTTTTTTTTAAGTATATTTAATGTTTGCAAAAAGCCTGTTTCCCCCCCGGCTTTTTTTTTTTTTTTTTTTTTTTTTTTAAACTTCCTGTGTCTGGAGGAGATTCTGTTAAGTTTTTAATATTTCACCTCTGTAAGCTTAAAATGCTAAAATACCCAAGTTAATGTTTCATGCTTGTCTAATGTTGTAACTCATATTAAGAGGATGACTTGGTGGGAATAAATAGTGCAGCTCATTACTTACGAGTGGGGCTTTGTTTCTGGAGCACAAGTGGATACTTGAGTATTGAATGTGATGCTGCTGAGTTTTCAGCTGTTTCAGTTCAATTATAGAGACAAAGTAAGTTATGTTAGGAGTATAATCCCTTAGACCAGTATATTCCTTACTTGTGTATGCTCTCTTTGTAGACAGTGCTTAAGTTTTTGGCCTTCTGTTTTGTTTGTTGTTTGTTTTTTCTTTTTTTTTTTTAAACATTTTTATTTGCATATCATATACCTGTAATTGTTAAGGACTTTTATGACAATTCATGATTGCAGTTTTGACAAAAGTTTTTTGCTGTGTGTGACCCATCAAAGGTACTACAGTATGTTGAGGCTCTCAGGAAGAACTTTGGTTTATCAGGCTGTTGTGTGGAGAAAGTTGGTGGCACAAGGCTAGTGAGCCAGTTGAATTTCTTCGATGTTTCCAGGTGAACTTTAAGTTGTGACTCTAGGGAACTTTCAAATATCTGTAGGATATGAACATCCTGAACTAGAGGTGCTAGAAAGTCAAAGGAGGTGGCAAGGAGGGGATACTTGTGGACATCTTTTTAAGGATGAGGTGAATTGTACTCTGCAGAAGTCTTTTTCCTTCTGTTGGTTATAGAAGGAACCTCCACGAGATGTCTAACACTTAGATCTCGCTGAGGTAAATCCTACCTTTGCAGAGAGAGGGGCCTGACTGAAACTCAGTATGTGAACTCACACTAAATATGCTCTCAGCAAAGCGGCTTTTCTTTGCACAAAATACATTGGTATTGGTTCAGTCTGGTTTATATTGGAAACCCTGAATGGTAAGAATCAAGAATTAAGTCCCGATCCATTTATCATATACTAATGTCTTGCTGTTCCCTTTCTTGTCTGTGAAAGGACCTGGTTTTGTACTTGCCCTGGAACCCCGTCCAAAAGGATGTGCCAGAGTGCTAGAGGTGGCCCACACTTGTGCTGCTGCTAGCGGGTGTACTGACGTCCAAGAGACGGCAGTGAAAAACAGCTGGAGCAATAACCTCCTCCGCTTCTTGGCCAAAACACAGAATGTATATTCCCAATTAATTTTGATTAATTATTTGCTGTCTGCAGTGTGTCTCTTGGGAATGAGAGGTGAGGTGAGAGGACAGTTCTCCCCTGATAAGTAGTATGAAATTTAGAACAAGACCGACATAGCTACTGTTAGGTAGCTCTGCTGGCATATAAAGCATTCTTTGCTCTGTGGGACACGCATGTTTTGATTCTATAATGAGTTTATGCCATCTGAGATTAAAACTATGAATATGTAAGTCTTACTGGAGAACTATGAGGAAGTATTTCTTGCAAAGAAGCTTATAAATTAATTGCCATTTCATTGTACTCCATTGTTGTAACTCTAAAACGATGCTCTTGGATTAATTTGTAGAAACCAATAAAGTAAGTCGCCAATAATAAGAACTTTTAGAGATTTGTAGTAGAATAGTTTTCTAATTTATATTGCTTTTAAAATGTATGCTTATTGTTATTTCATTGTTCTGACTTATATGAGCCTATTCAATTTTAATAGGATTTCAGGATTGGTGAAACCTAAGAAATTCATTTAATATATAGTCTTTGTGTTGAATTTCATGCCGTTTTGTATAATTTATCTTAAATAATGCTTCTAAACTCTAAAAAGACTTCATTATGCCTTGGAAGTGTTATCTGGATTAGAGATTGACAGTTGTACAACCCCTGTCATTCCAAACAGGTGAAAACCGGGGAAAGTGTACATTGATTTAGTATTAGCCTTCATTCAAACCTGAAATGACAGTAATCAGAGTATGCATAAAATATGTATGAGCTAGTAGCACTGATGCTTTAAAATATGTTGAATACTGAAAATCACTTCAGATTTATTTATTTCTCTCTTCTCTGCAGCCTGCTGTAGAATACAGAAGTCTTCTGGATAGACTTCACAGACTGGAGCAGGACCGCCTGAAGAGGTTCCTTTTGGTAAAGCAGGAGGAATATTTTGCAAAGGCCTATAGACAGCTGGCTGTTACCCAGAGAAAGGAGCTCCATAATATCTTTTTTACACAGATAACAAATGCTACTTTCAAGGGAGAACTGAAGTTGGAAGCAGCTAAAACATTAGTGGAAGATTACTCTAAAATACAGGTAATAGGATGATAACTCCATTCCTAACCTCATGACAGAATACAAACCCACAGTAACTTTGGAGAAATGTTTCAGGGAATATGTTTCAGCATAAATGTTATCACTTTTATAAATAATTTTCTTAGGAAGAATTTTAAAAAGTATAATGCCATCATAATGCACATCTAGACACCCACACAACTGTATATCAATGCATACGCACAGCTTTTTTCTACAACAGTGAGTTAGATTTATTTGCCACAACATTATGTGCTTAGTGCTGACTTTTGTTTTCATGGGTAATATTTCTAAAGCACCCAAGTGTTTAAAACTTGTCTTTACTGATCTGGGAAAATAAGGCTAGTAGTTCATCTGTACCATGCAGAAGAAATAAGTTTGAAAACATGTCTACACTATGCAGTGGGAAATTGTGTAATATAAATCCCCAGTTTTTCAGTGAATGTTTTGATACATCTGCACATCTTGGGGCTCTGCTTAGCTCCTGAAAGCTCTGTTGGTGCAGCTCTGCCCCTAAGCGCTCCCCCACAGGATGGTCTGAGAGGATTTGTGCTTGTGCAGCAAACTTCTGGTTCCAGGTCTACCCTCGCAGGTGTTAATGGGGCCCTCAGCATGGTACAGAAATGCCAGAGGCCATTTTCAAATGTAATTTCAGCCTAAATAAACTTAGGCAACTAAGAGAACAGTTAGGTACCAAAATCTATTTTATCAATGGCATTTTCTAAAACAGATCAGATGCTGTCTAATGAATGATAAGTACCTTTGGAGGCCTGTCTGTATAGGCATTTTCAAAACCCCCTAGGCATCAAGTGCTTTTCTATACTTCAGAAGATGTACTGAGCCCCCCCAGTCCAAATATGTAGATTATTGAAATTGTGGTATGTCTGAAGTGCTATGGTTTTGTACTTTGAGGGGTTGAGTATCTCTAGCTTATGCAGTCGGGAATGCTGATGAAGAGTATGTTCAGGACTTTAGTTTTCATTTCAGTTACATTTTACGCCTCTTGCAACAGAATAACTTGAGTTGTTTCCTCAAGGTTGTTTGTTTTTTTTTTTTAATTCTATTTGTGTTGAAAGTTAGTGTTCTAGATTCCAAAAATTCTGGGAATTGTTCTTCTGTCTGCTTCTTGAAGAAGAGTATGATTGTTGTGGTCCTAGAGGTTGAGGGCCTGGCGGTTAAAAAGCAACATCTGGAACATAGGTGTCAAAACATGTAAGGCCCACTCCTAAAACTAGATGCACTTTCAGATCTCAGTACAGAAAAGCCACACATGGGCCACTGTCAGATATAGATGCAGCAAGCACTTATGCAAACAACAGTTGAGCAGTACGCAGAAGATAGAGCAAGTGAAAGAAATTCTCTCAGTGAAAGAAAGGCTGCTCAGACATGAGTCACCTAAGTATCAGACCTTGTCTTGGCTATCTGATGCTAGCAGAATGTCTGCTATAGACCTACCTCCGGTCTCTGCCAAACCTGTTTGAAGGTACCTAAAGCCCTCCTGTTCCCCACTGTTGGGAGCAGGAACGTCTAAGCCAGCCTGTGTGCAGCGGGCTTGGCTTTCCCCGTGCTGTACTGGGCACACGTAGAAGACTTATCCTTGGCTTTGAAGACAATTTAGACACCTTTGAAAATGTTACTCTTTATTTATTTAATCATACAATACATTGTAAAGAAAAAAAAAAGCGGGGGGGTGGAAAAGAAAGAAGAATATGATGCCATTTACTGCTGTTATGTTACTGAACACATGCTGTCTTCAGGTCCCAGTTCAAGAAGATCTTTCAGCCTGTGGATAGCTTTAAGCAGGAACAGTTCTATAACACTGATAGGGTTGCATGTAGTGTTGTGGGTACCTGATCAAATGACCTATGAACTCAGGCGTCTCAGGAGGTGCACTAACTATTCAGGAGAGTACACACAATATTAAGGTATTCAGGCCAAAAGCTCAGCACATTATTTATTTTGTTTTGTTGAAATAACAGTAATAATTTGACGTGATCATTAGAGTTAAGTTGATACAAGCTTACTGTTTTTCATTTGTAAAAGCTTTTTAACTTTGTGCTGTTAATGAACAAATCTGGTCTGATGCCCACAGGTGTTAGCTGAAATTAACATTACATCTTATTAAATGTATTTGTTCACATTCTTTCCTGTAGGGAGACATTGAAGAGCTAATGGATTTTTTGCAAGCTAGCAAGAAATATCATCTGAATAGAAGATTTGCTTACAGAGAGTATCTTATAAATAAGATACGGTTAGGGGATACTCAAGCCTCTGCTCTTATAAATGCAGCAGCAACCCAGATATCAAGTCTCATTAGTAAGATGGAAAGGTAAATATCTCAATTGTTTTCTTGGTAGCCATTTGACTGTGTTATCTCAAAGACAATAGAATAGTCTTCAAAAGTCTTTTTGTCTGTGTTACCTAGCAGGAAAGGAGCATAAAAACATTATCTTTTAAGTTAATTCTAAGAAAATATTTTGTAACTGCTGACTTTGTTAGTTAACATGCCAGCAGACACTAAGGTGAGGCTTTGTTGTCTGTTTCCACTTTGTAGAGCACAGAGATGAATTGCTAGGAACAGGAACATGCATAATACCTGTTTGTAATTCTGACTTCAGTGGGAACCAGACTCATGTAAGAGTCTCAATGTCTTCATACATCCATTATTCATGTAAATTGTCCTCAATCATGTGAAAAGTCATAGAATCATTAAGGTTGGAAAAGACCTCTAAGATCATCAAGTCCAACCATTAACCCAACACAGTCCTACCAGAGTCCATTGCAACATGTAACAGTTAAGACCATTTAAGTGGGTTCTTTACACGTGAATATCTGGATTTAACAGAAGAGAACAATTTTTGATTCACTTGTGATTGAATGTGTTTGAGGAGCCGGATGTACAGTCTCAAGCTGAAAAGCATGAATATTTTCTAAAGAAAGTTGGCTAAGTTTATAAATAAGGTAACTGGGGAGGATCTTGACTAGCAGATAATACACCTGTTGCAGGGAATACTAAAAAGTAAAGGTCAGGTGAAGTGAAAAGTAGACCTGGAAATGGACTGTTTTAATACACTCATTTAATTTATTTGGGATATCATACCAGATCCAGGCTGATTCATGTGAGGATACTCATAGTCAAGGTGGAGAGAGAGAAATGATGACTTACCAGAGACATAGTTATTTTAAATTACATGGCAATGTGGAGCACTGAGAGAGATCTCTCGCTGCTACCCAGAGAACTGCGGCATATCTTAGTTGGGCATACAAAGAGATTACTGAGGAGCATGCCAGTGCAGTAAAATACATTAGTGGGCAGGAGAACAACCTAGCACTGCTGCTGTTGATTCTGTGCATGCAGCTTTATTTGTATATTTTAGATGTCTGTATTAGAGTCAGTCACTGACAACATGTGGAACATGCATTAAGATAATAAGTATAAATATCAGTCTTTATATTGTGGTTTTTCTTTCATAATGTTGACTTAATTTAAAAGTAATTTCATATTAGGAAGCAGGAAGTCTGTTAAAAGCTACCAAAGATTGCATCTGTTGATATGATAAAGTCATTTTATTTTTGTAACTTTTCCTTGCTCTTCTTTTTGATTGCCCTGTGTGCTGCCTCACTGGAATCATATCCTAAGTTTAGCCTCAAGATTCATTGATCAGAGAGAGGTTCCTCCAGTATGCTTGCACTGCATTGCCTATTTTGCTAACATCTGCAGCTGTGTGGCTCAAAGACAAAAATAAATGTCTCGGTATAGGAAATATGGATACATCTTTCACAGAGAGTTCCATCAGTTCATCCCTCTCTTTGGAATCGGATTATGAGAAATATTCTGAGATGTTTTCACAGATGTTGTGGTTATGTGAAAAGCCTTCATGAGAAACTCCCACCTGTATGACCACTGCATCCGTGGCTTGAATCATTGCAATGAACAACTGGGACTTCTCAAGCTGGAAAAACAGGTTCCACTCATTGTTTAATGCCTGTTATTGCACCTAACAGTCACAAAACAGATCAACTACAGAACAGAGAGGAAATGTGTAATATTGGTAATCCAAGACCTTATGGATCTCATCCCAAAAAACGTACCAAAAAAAAAAAAACCCAACACTACCCAAAAACTTCCAAGACCAACAAACATCATTACCAAGATAAAAATTAATTTTTCTAGCACTCCCCTATTAAACTTCTCAGAGTGTGCAATGGTTGTAGTACTCTGCGGACAAAGGAAACGTGTCTATAGTTGGAGACAGCATTTGTAGAGAAGCAATCCCATCTGACTTTCTGGGACTAGAAGTAGTTATTTTCCTCTAACTTCCCACACCTGCTGCGGCAGGAATTCATTTCAGGCAAATGTTGGCCAAACTTATGTCATTATTCATTCTCTAGCTGTTGAGATTGTAAAACTCCAGAATGTAGTATTTTTTTTTTTCTACAGGCAAACTGAAATATCCAAGTATAAACCTTGAGGAAGTTATAATCTATGCTAGGTAGGCTTGTATTTCAGTTTCTAATTATAAAGCGATTTGGGGACTATTTACAAATTGGAGCATTAAAATTTGAGCAGCGAGAGAAGTCTGGTCTGAATGGCTGTACTTTAAATTTGTATCCATAATATCCTCTTAATTTTCACCTTAGCATTGAATCTGCTTGTCTAAATATAGATACAGGTCTGTCTTAATCTATTATGTCCAGCTTTAATAGCATGCCTTAAACTTACTGTTATAAATGGAATTTTAAAATGCAGGACTGTTTGTATGGAGAAGAGAAACTGAGAAAAGTTGTAGATTAGATATTCCACAGATAAACAGATTCAGGGACACATAAACCAGCAGGTAAATGATGAGGGGAGAGGTCTTTTAAAAATGGAGCTTAATGGGATGTTTAAGATTTATCAAATAGCAAGGCAATTTTGAATTAACATGAAAAAGATTCTGTGTAGCCAGAAATAAAGGCTATAAAACCCAAAATAAAACCAAACCAATTCTAGGGAGAGTTGTGAACATTTTAAGTGAAATAGAGCAGCCAGTTTTCAAGCTGGGCTTTCTAAAGACAGCATTTAAATAAAATGCCCTGTTTGTCAGGACCGGCTGTGGGTACTCAGCGCCTTTGGAAATCAAGTCCATTGATTGCAGTGCCAAAAGGCAGGAAAGTAAGTTTCAAAATATAATCTGTGATGGTAGATTTCAGGGATGTCTAGCTAGGCTTTTTGTGTTTTCCCTTGAAGAATAAATGGGCAGGAGGGCAATACTTGGCAGTATTTATCCTGGGTTGCTCTGGCTATGCCCAGAACATGAGGTTCTCTACATTTTTGAACTACAGCAGCTGTAACATGTTGCATTGTTCTTTTGCTGGTATCTGCTCGTTCGCAAGAAGTTTCCTTCCTTATTTGGTCTCTCAAAAACTGAATCCAGTTCTCCTGACTCACTAGATAAGAACAACTCAAGCTCCTTTATAAATTTCTCCCAAAATTTTAATTTTTATAAGACCTCAAGCATTTCTTGTGAACTGTGTTTTTAAAATAGGCAATTGATTATCTTTGACATAAAAGTTCAAAGCAAAACATCTCGTATTGGTCTCTTACTTACTCTTTTGAATAATCTCAGTTTATATCGACCTTGTTATAAGTGAAGTAATTTTCTGAACAGTGTCCTGCTGGACCTTTCAGTGAGTTGGTATTGGAAAGTGAATGCCTTCAGCAGTAATGCTTCATATCTATCTCCCTTATGTTTTAGTGACGCTCCCATGCCTTCTCTAGCTTTCAGAAAACAATTTTCCTTTGCTAGGGTCCAGAATCACTTAGTTGTCCGTAGCATCAAATACAAACTACTACTTTTTACTTTTAGTGCCCTCATTTCACACTTTCTCCTAATTTTGTTGGCTTTCGTTCAGTACAGAGAAGCCAAGGTCTGCCTCTGATTGACCTATGATACTGCTGCTGTTGGCCACACACGTCATCTCTGTTCCTTCCATGGCGCTCGCTACATTTTGGAGGGTCTCCCTGTAAACATCCTTGTTGTTACTGCAGTATTGTCCTTCATTAAAATTCTCCTTGTTCAAAGACATTAAACATGTGCCTGCATATTTCTTCAGTGATTAGATGTCTGGTATGCTGAGACCAAGCAGTTCATCATACAATCTATACTGTCTCATTATCTTTCTCCTCTCCTTTTACTTTGTGTTTTAATTCAGAGTCTTTTGGGAACAGGACATCTTTTAATTCTAATACTGTAATTGTTTTTATACTGTATTTATATGAGGCCAGAAATGAAGGTCTCTTGTCAGGATTGAGCCTTCTAGGAATTACTGTAATACTGATTAATGTAAGTAAGTTGCCACATAAACTCCCATAGACTTCTGTGGTGGTAGGCATTTTGCCCATTACTTTTGTTGTCTGGGATTTCTAAATATGTAGATTCCAAATAAATAAATAGATAGGTTTTACAATACTGCATCACCTTCAGTTTGAGCTGCGGATCTCTAAATAACCCGAAACTGAAATAATGTAGACTCTTTTTTTTTTTCCTTAAGAATAGGTAGAGATAGATATATATAGAGAGATATATATATATATAATCTTCCAGTCATTTTAGGTTGCATGGCTTTTCCTGTATCTTTCATTTGCTGGATAGTTCCAGCACATCTATCTTTCTCTATTGCAGCCAGAAGGTGTTTGGACAACATCCAGGTTCGGGTCAGGAATTGGTGCTTTCTACTCAAAGTTCCATGTTGACCTTTTCAACCCCACATTTTGGAAGTCCCGTGTTTAATATTATTAGAAATTATAACTCACAAATGTCCAACAGCCTGGTCTGAATTAAAACGTTCTTTTATTCTTCTGTTGTCTGAGAACAATTTGGGGAATTTCTGGTGTAAATATAATAGCAGGTAATTTTTGAAATTCAATTTGAGTTTGTGGAGAAGGAAGTTCTTCTAACTGTTGCAGGCATGGTTGGGATCTTGCTTACTCTTTAAAATTAAATACTGTAGCAACTGGAGGTAGAGTGTAGTCTTAAGCTTCCATTTGAAAACACTGTGCTTAAGACTGAGAATTTGCTCTGTTAGATTATTGTATTTCACTATTAGTTTGAAATCTTTATAATTTTTCTGATGATGTGAATGTAATAGGAAATCTGAATATAAATCTTTTCATGTATACGATTGCTTTGATTCTTTAAAATAATTTTTAATCCTTTTTACTTGATTAGATTACATCCTTTAAAGAGAAAATTGTTTCTAATAAGGAGAAGGAGTTATAAAAGATACCTAGAATTGCATTCCAGGGGCATTAAATGAAAAATGTAAATATTATGAATAATATATAAGGTTTCAAATGTCTCATTTGAGTATTGCTTATATTACTAACTGATATGTAATTGGTTTTGCATTTGCCTTCCGTTCCTTCCTTCTCATACACCTTCACTCTACCTTCACAAACTGCCTTAATTCTAAACTCGTCTCTGAGATTATCTTTCTGTTATCCACTTGCTTGTTTGATTCCTCCCAGGTATCACTGCTGAAGAAACAAAAATCATTCTGTATGTCTACTTTGTTGAACCTTATTATGGTACTACTTGCCTCAAATATCCTTTTGCTCTTAAGAATTTGGGATAACAGGCTTCAAACACTGTTATTACAGAGCAGGTCATCTGCCAGAAAGTCATTCGGGAGTGCTGCTGGACCGAGCTGAGGCTGAAATTAATTCTGTTAAACAGAAATTCGATCATGATTTGAAACAAGAAAAGCAAAAGCTTCACCAGAAACTCATTACCAAGCGAAGGCGGGAAATGCTACAAAAGGTAATTATTTTCAGTATATTTGTTTTCACAGGGCTTATAATAAATTAAAAATGGAAAGAATTGAAAAATAAAGTGTAGTTCTTAGGACAGGGGTCAACACTGCCAGGAGCATGGATGAAAATAAGTGTCTGTTGTTTTTAGCAGTGTACCGCCATGTGCTATATTAATTATGCAGTAATTAGCTGTTATTTTAGAAAAACCTGCAAGAAAGTAATGTAACTGGAGAAACTTGTGAAGCCCCTCTACTTGGTCTAACCTGTCCAAGGGAGTTATGACAAGCCTCTGTAATGTGCAGACAGGCAAAAGTCAACTGAGGTTCTTGAGTTGATGAGCGAGATGGCACAGATCTGTGACAGTCATTGTTTTCTATGGGTTTCCTGGCTATGTGTGACTTGAATGACTTCTACAGCATAGTTAAAATTCAGCTACAAAATGAAACTATTTAAAAGATGCTGTACCTGTGGCTGCTTGTGGTAGGACTCATGTCACCTAACCTCAGCCATCTAAAAATCAAGGCTAACTCCAAGAGCTCCAAATCATTTCATAATGGAAGATGACTTGCAGGTGATCTGAGCTAAGCGGAAGGGAGTTGTTATCCAAAGGTCCCTATCTTTCTCTGCCTAAGGACGTAAAAAAAACTATCTTGGATTAGGTGGTATTTCTTTAGATAACCAAGGTTAGGCGAGATTTAATTTTACCTTTTGCGGGATAAGTGTTTCAGTGGTTTTTGCTCTTTAACAGATATCAGTGTAAGACACAGCAGGTGTAACGATGGAGACTTCATTTGTTGTATATATTCTCAGTATAGGTAGCTTTGGTTTAGCTTTCTAATGAAATTGCTGCATGCTGTAAGATGGGGAAAATAAAATAAAAAAAACCCAACCTTTTTTTTCCTCTCTTTTTTTTTTTTTTCTTCTTTTTCTTCCTTGGTATTTGATCCAGATTCATTTCTGGAATGCTGCCAGATCATTACAGTTCAGGAAGTTGGGATTATGTCATACCACAAGATCATGCATTTTTTTAGGTGTTAGCCCTTCTATCTAGCAACAGTCCAAATTATCACAGGCCTGTATTTGCCCTTCTGTCTAACAATAATCTGAATTATCACAGGCCTGTTAGATGCACACAAAGCCATCATGTTGAGGGCTAGGTAAGTCTCTGGACACTGAAAAGCATTTTTGAGAACACTGAAAAACAAAAATATGAAATTTTGCGTTGCTATGAAATACGTATTTAAAGAGCTAGAATTTGAGATGTTCCTTCTCTTAACCTTGTTCCTCCTTTTGGCAAACCAATCAGCAGAAGGAGCATCGGAAGGAGCAGCTGTCACTTGGAGACCCCTTCAAAACTACTAAGGAGGTCACGCACTACCTGAGCCACTGGAAAAATCTTCTGAGTGATCACACCATTGAATTTGAAGAACTTACTGAAAAGCTTGACAGTGAGGCCGGTGAGGAGCTGAAAGAGCTTCTATTTAGTCTAACAGAGAAAACTGTTGAAGAGCTTAAACGTGTTCAATATGGAGTATTTGTGCAAGAACTGGTAAAGCTCAGTGTGCCAAAGATGTTCCTGCTGGAAGCTGTGGAGGAGCATAAAAAAGAGATGGTTGTTAAACATGAACAGCTTGAAAGGGAAGAGCACGCTGAAGAGCTGCTTCAGCTCACCAGGCAGAAGCTGAGCCAAGAACTGGAAATGAGCCTTTTGGAACAAAAAAAATTAAGGAGCTGGGAACAATCAGTATTCATGCAAGTATCTCTCTGTACCCTTTTCATAGTTATTCTTGCAAATAGAGGTGAACTAGGAGTTTTCACACCTGTCTGGGTATAATTCCTAATGATCAGTTCTCTGTCGTGCACTCGGTAATTGATTTTTTCACAAGCGCTCAGCCCCTGCGGCGCTGGCGGGTGAGCCGGCACTCCTAGTGCTGCAGTGGAAATCCTGGGAAACGGTGGTTTTGAAACCAAAACGGTAGACTGTTTTTATACTTCTGTTCACTCCGTGTCAGGTTTCACTTGCATATCTTTCATTATTATTCTCAGTCTGTTCTCAGAGGTCCAGCACTTTGGAAATGTCATTTAGTATGTCAGGCCTAATTAGCCCCGTGTTCAATTTCGATACATTCCTTCCAGCCACAAGTCAAGCCTTACTCATTGGGTGCTCGTTTTAAGCTCTGCCACAATACTTCGCTGTATTTCATAAATACACAGCACAGTACTGTACCTTTCCAGCTCATGGGCTCCACGCATCAGACTTGGCCCATCTGGCCTGCTGACCAAGTGGTCCTGGCACTGAGCTCCCAGCCAGAAGTGTCATGGCACGGGCGATTTTGCAGAGAGGTTTGCTGGCCATCGCTGCCTGCTATGATGTGACCCTGGGGAGGTGGGAAAGCGAGTGGCCTTGGCACCATTGGGTCTCTCCCTTGCTCAGGGAGAGACCATGGCTGCAGCCGAAAGTCGATGTGCGTGGTACCTCCCAGACTGGGCAGCAAGATCCCTGAGAGATTTGCACCATTTGTTATCATTTCTTCTTATCTTTCAAGTACATTTATGACTAGTTTTTGTATTACCTGAATATTTACACTACTACATTTCCTATACAATGTCCATTTAATAACAGACATTGTTAGAGACATGGGAACATGAAAAAATAGTCTTCTGTCAAAATTGCAGCTTTAGGGGAAGCAACTGGAACAGGCAAACCTATATTAAGCTGTGTGTCCCTGGAGCAAACGTACTAGGCATGAGAAATTGGAGGCGGGGGGGAAGGGCAAAAAAAAAAGCATTAGTTAAGGTTTCTCCTTCATACGTATTCTTTAAAGCAAAACAGATTTGCGTGGGGAGTTTTTTCCAGACAGCATCTTTGTAAGTTTGCCTGCTGCACAGTGTCAAACCACATAAAAGAAATATGAAAAGAAACCTTGCCCATTGCATATGTGCTTTGTTAAAGAAAAAAAAAATCCATTTGTCTTGTTTTTATTCTAATTTCAAGGCCTTTGTATTTTATTCAGCATTTAAAATACTTTTCTATAAGCCATTTCAATGTATTTTCTAGCTTGTCTTATTATCTTTTATTTATATAGTGGACTGGCACGAGCAGGGAAGTAGATTGTATGACCCAGCAGGTCTTTCCTAATTCTAACTTACGATTCCATGATATTGTGTTCCAGCCTGCAGTGTCGTCTGTTGTATTTGTTAAATGCTGGCTTTATTTACAGCAACAGTAAGCTGTTTGTTTTTTCCAGTAAAATACTGGAAAATACATACAAAAAATGCAGCATTTGCACAAAAGCCCCTTAAATCTGCCACTGTCTTTATGTTCAGTCCACTGTCTTGTCAATTTTGATATTTTGATGACAGATGCCAGCTCTCATGTTTGTGTTCTCATCTGCTATCTAGTTTTCACAAAGAATTATTTTGAATTATAGCTTTTCATTTTTGTTGCTTATCAAAGAGACCATGAGTTAGTCCAAAATATTTATGAAGATCATTAATGGTCAAAGTCCTTTTTAAACCTGGACATGAAAAAACTGTGATTTGCTGTATTTTCTTTTATATCTCTCTCTATATATCTGTATATATGGATATATAGTATGGATTTTCTTCTAAAAGTCTAAGACAACGTGAGAAATGGTTAAGTATACTGTAAATGCTTGCTTGGAGTAATGTTGCCTTAAGGTAAGTAATTTTTCGGAGAGAAGGACTTTATGCATTAAAAATGTTTTAATTTAGGATATAGCTGTTCTTTGCTGCATCAGTAAACAGAAATAAGGATTTCTAAGCTCAGAAATATTTTAGTGAATTGATGAAGTGGTATAGGCCTGTAATATACTGAATAAAAGCATCAGTCCTAATGGAAAATACAGTGTAATATATTTTTAAAAGAAAACTACTTTTTAAAAAATATACTGTTCATGCTTTAAATACAAATATATTTTTTGGGAAATAGAGAAAATTTCCAAACAAAAAATTGTGCTACGTTTTATGAAATACTCTTAAAGAAATATTTCAGTCACAAGATAAGGTGATAAATGTAGTCTAAGGTTAGTCACAACTGGAAGATTAATTTAGGCTTTAGCATGCTTTATTTTTAAGTCAACTTCAGCTTGACCTGAGGATCAGTTCCCCAGAATTCTGTGTTGAGAACCTTCCTTCTACAAAATGGGAACTTTAAGTGATTCAAATTGCTGCTAAAATATATTCCGTGTTGTTCAGACTGCTAAAAGCTTTTTTACAAAGAACAGCTGGAACCCTTGTGACTTGGTGGGAGGGATTACCTATATGAGTTTATTATAAAGAGATACTTTTTTATTTTATTTTTTTTCCCCTCTCAGTAGCTGTGACTGCTAAGTGCTGGGAAACAGCACAGGGAGGCTTTATGGGAAGCTTTTGTCTCAATTTCAGCCCTAAGTTCAGGGTTTGTATTGTCTGAAGAGATGGAAGGATTCTGTGCATAGAAAATGTGCTTAAAATTATTTATTTATTTTTTAAACATTCTGTTTCCCCTTGAAAATGAAGTTTTACAGTCCAGGAAGTTCTGTATGCAGAATTTAAAGTATCCTCAAGGATATTTTTAACATGCTGAGCAGCTCAGTCCTATGTGTGGAATCATTAACTGGTGTATGAATAAGACAAAAAAGGATGATCATTGTCATGTAAAGTATTTGTGTGCATGTCTCTTACATTTTATGTAAAATTGTCTATATCACTGAACAGCAAATGGCTTTTGTTTTTTTAACAGGCAGCTTCTAAGTTTACCCCTCTCACTATCAGAAGCGGAATTGCTTAGAATGACGCAAGAGCTGCACTGCTCCTTTTCTCAGGTGGACAACAGCTTGGCTTGGCCCAAGATAAGAGCAAGAACCTTGCTTCAGGCTTTTGAGGTGGAGCGGAGGGACACAGAACTGCTGAAAGTCGATCAGAATTTAGCAATGACCAATAAACAGGTGGGAGCGATGTGGGATCAGTGTGGGAATGTGCAAGGGGTTCATGGGTATATCTGCAGGTTGTTGGCCTCAGCTGCAGATATGGGTCCATAGCTTCTCCATAAGTGTGACAGCAGTGTTCACTTCTCCTGTGTGTGTGGATCAGTGGACCTTAAAGATAATTGTTTTGGTGGCAGTTGGATAAATACTTTCTTCACATATGCCTGCGTATTTCTGCTGCCTGCATGGCCTCCAGCTTTCCCAGGAAGAAGGCACAGGTATAAAGAAGCAGACGGGTGGCCAAAAGGGGCTGCATCTCTGAGGAGAGTCAACTGAAATGCCAGAAATTGGAGTGGTGCAGAGCCTGGCTCTGAATGTCAGGGACAAGTTGGGTCTTTTACAGCCCAAACTGAGGTTTCTCTGGCAGCCCCTACACAGTACTGAATTTGGCACTAAATCAAGGAAAGATTTAGGGAGGTTTTATACGGGAATGTCCTACACTTTCTTGTCCATGTAGGAAAGGGGTGAGGGATGTTAATTCCCTCAGTAAAATGTAAAACCTATGGAATCATAAATTATTTTAAGTTCTTATATAGGAGGAAAAAAAGTGTTTCCTGTATGAATTGTATCTGATACCATCATAAAAAGGAGGACTTTCCCTTGCTTTGTTTTTGTTCAGTTATGTTTTCTAAATGTGTAAACTAACTTGGGTTAATTGTACTAGGAATTAGCATAGTTCAAAACCTTAATAATTTCTAAAGTACTAAATAAGGGAAATGACTTTGCAAAGCCTTATGATAACAGATGTTATCATTTCCCCAAGAGTACATTATACTTATTTGATATTCTTGTAAAGAAATATAAAGGTCAAGAATAATTTGATTACATGGAATGGTGCCCCGTAATACTATCATGGTTCATTCGTGATTCATATACTGTGTCTTGAAAACAATGTAGTTCTTAAATTAATATTCTTTGTTCATTTTTAGCCATACTGAGGAGACAGCATATCAGTTAAAATCTTCTCTTATTATCAGTGCTAAAGCTTGTTTAAAATCAAATTTATATGCTAACAGTTTTCATGAAAGGGTGAATATATAATTCTGCTTGAAAGAAATTAAAAAAGAAATTTCCAACTTTGTCTGAATGTCTGAAAGGAATCTTCTGAATCAATAGGCAGCACCTTCATTTCAGAAATATTTTCTCAGTGAAAGTTGTCCTTGTAAAGTGTTTCATTAATTGGTGGATCTGCCAATAATAGCAAGTAATAATCTTAAGGTTAGCATCCTCATATACCTCTTACAAATAAAGCATTTTGTGCTCATCTTCTTATGGCAGCATTCTAAAATGAAAAAAACAGGATCCAGGAATAGAAATAAGATAGATATTCTGAAGAAATCTTTACAGGACAAAGTTTTCATTTATGAAGAATCAGTGAAAGATGAAAATTTGGATAAGGTAAGTGCAAACGTTTTCTGTACTGAGGTCAAAACCTAGATCTTTAGTAATTAAAGAATGACAGTTTTCTATCGACGTGAATAAGAACCAGATAAAAAAGGCATGACTTGTAGTGGCATGATGCATCTCTCTACTCTTGCCTCATTGGTCAAGATGTTGTATTTCAAGCTTAATAGTTTTGGCTTTGTTTTAATTTTTGCATCTTAGTTACAGAACTGATTTCATGTCTCACCCTTTTTTCTTCCAGTGATTCTGGGGCTTGGTGTATGCACGATTGCAAGAATCCCCTAGATGCTGTGGTTTTCTTAGTAAGGCTTTCAAAACATAGAATCATAGAATAGTTTAGGCTGGAAGGGACCTTTAAAGGTCATCTAGTCCAAACCCTCTGTTCAACTAAATCAGGTTGCTCAGAGCCCCGACCAACCTGACCTTGAATGTTTCCAGGGATGGGGCATCCACCACCCCTCTGGGCAACCTGTTCCAGTGTTTCAGCACCCTCATTGTAAAAAATTTCTTCCTTTTATCTAGTCTAAATCTACCCTCCTTTAGTTTAAAACCATTCTCCCTTGTTCTGTCACTACAGGGTCTACCAAAAATTCTGTCCCCATCTTTCTTATAAGCCCCCTTTAAGTATTGAAAGGCTGCAATAAGATCTCCCCGGAGCCTTCTCTTCTCCAGGCTGAATAACCCCATCTCTCAGCCTTTCTTCATAGGAAAGGTGTTCCATCCCTCTGATCATTTTTTGTGGCCCTCCTCTGGACCCACTCCAACAGGTCCATGTCTTTCTTGTGCTGAGGGCTCCATAGAAAGTAAGTACTCCAGGTGGGGTCTCACCAGAGTGGAGTAGAGGGGCAGAATCACCTCCCTCGACCTGCTGGCCACACTTCTTTTGATGCAGCCCAGGATGCGGTTGGCTTTCTGTGCTGTGAGTGCACTTTGCTGGAAGGTGCTTCACTGCCTACTTCAGTTGAGCAAGATTTAGTTCCTGGACCTTTCCTAATGCTACTGAAAACCCAGAAATGGGTTCTTAGATCCAAAGACTTCTTGGGTAGGGGCTGAGTTTATTTGTACAGAACTTATTGAAAGGGAGCCTTGATTCTGGTGGGTATCTTTTAAAAGCCCCGACCTAAAGTTAATCCTTAAGGAATGGGTGGGGCCAATGCCAATATGGGATTTTGGAGGCTTTTTCCTTCTCTGCCAGCAGATGTTGCATGAGGTCTTCTTTGTGTTCCTTAACCTTCCTCTCTTCCTCTTTCCCACCTGTAAAATATGAGTAATATTACTTTTGTATATCAGAGGAACATTACAATGATAACTGTGTTAGATATAGGTGGTGCACAGCTGTAAGAACTATGCAGAACAAGCAGATGCCATTGGTAGTTAAAATTGGTAGATAAAAATAGTTTCACAAATGATTGCAATATCAATTTTAGTACCAATTTGGACAAAATTCTGTTTTTACACCTGTTTCCTTTTAATGCTTGTATCCTGAGGAATGAAAAATACTGGGTCAATGTTTATTCAGAAATAATTTCACTTTTATGTGAGAGCAACACATTGTTAGTATTGGTTGCAGATGATAAAAGCAGATGTTTATCTAGTCCAGCATTCAGTCTTTGAAAGTGAGAGCAGGTGCTTGGGCAAGAATACAACAAGTGGACAAGTGTGTTCTGGCACTCTTTAATAATTTAATAACTCTGGTCTAAGAATGCCCTAATCCTTTAATGGAGGCATTTAAACTTTTGGCTGCAAAACCTAATGCCCTGACCTCCAAATTTTTTTTTTTTTTGTACTGTTACTTGAAAGTGCAACAGAGTATGGGCTAAGCTCTTATGTTACAAAAAGTACTGAATACCTGTTCTGTGTGAATATTGCCTTATGTTTTTGTTAGAATCTTGTTTTAAAATTGGAAAGTTAGTTTCTCTAGTAAGTTTGCAGACGACACCAAGTTGG